TATTTTCCAATTGAATATTAATGATTTGCATTAATTGTTTTTTGACCTCAAGTTTACTGTGACGTAAAGAATTTAAAAAGTTTCTATCGAAAACATACTTAATCTTAGAAAACAAACTAATAGATAATTCATTTCGATAGAAAAGAGGGGCATTCACATACTGCTTGGTCAGAATACGCGAGTTTCTTAATTTATGTTTTTCATCTACGTTCGATTACTACTTTTGCGTGAAGAACGAACGCAAGTTCTTTTGAATTTCTTAATGAAAACAGCCAAAAACTGCACAAATGTTTCCTTCCATAAGGAAGGATGCCAAGAACAGTATTGTAAAATAAGTTTTGCAGAAATTGGCCAGAAAGACAATCAAATTTTAAAAAATCGAGCAGAAAACAAACACCAACAGAGCACTGAGCTTAGGCTGTAAAAGTTTTCACCTGGTTCTGCCACTAGATGGAGCTGGCATCAGTGCTTCTCGATATATCGCGAAGGGTCCTGTATTGTCTTAGTATTTGGATCGACTGAGACGCGGCTCATCCCGGACATAAATGACTCCGGCCGCGGAAGCCTACGAATCCAAGCGTGTTATAGTTAGGTGAGTGATGTTTCAATAAGCTAAGCGATAACTGTGAAGATAAGACCTTCAGGAAAACGTCTAAGCTCCCCGACTGGTCTCCCTATTTCCGTGCTAGTGTCATGCATACAAGTGCGTAAACAGAGAGGAGGCGAAAGGATGAGAAAGGAAAAATCGCGTGAGTGCAAAGGTACTGTTTCGACATTCGCCTGGAAGAAACCGCGGAAAATCAACGCTCAGGGCAGCCGGCCTCTAGAATTATTCTACTGACAATGGTTGAATTCGACCCTATTAGGGAGCATGTGTTGAAAATACACTGCTGTCAGCGGAAGAGCTGGCTAAAAACATCAATTGATGTCACTGCAGTGCCACTGACCGGGAAGTCCTAGATTTCGATTCCCGATGGTGATATAATTTTTTACACTAGCTACATAACTAGGTCGAATTTAGTCGGTGTCAGCAGGAAAATTCCAGCAGCAGGCTGCTCTCATCGGTAGAATTCTGTGGTTTCTCCGATCAACACCAGGCGAATGCTCGAGCAGTACCTTATCAAATGGGCTATGGATCGCTTGCGATCTTTCCTTCCCATTCCTTGTACTATCTTACCCCTTACTTACACACCTTGCACTTACATGCACTACACTACCATACATTCTGGGAGCCAGGTTGGGAGCTAGGAGCTTGTTCCGACTAGGGCGGTGCCCCGCTGGTGGGAGATACCTGGTTTGGGAAAAATCCCGCTAGTCGACGGGAGGTCGGCGCCGTATGTCGCCATTCCATGGGGTAAGATCACCCCCCCCCCAGAAAAAAACATGCACCACACTTACGAAACTAATGACGTTAATTGACGCGCCTGGAATTATCAATTAATCCACCACCGTCAAGACCAAAACCCTACTACTTCCGTTTAGAGATGCAACCATGTTTGCCACTGAGCTATCACTGCCGTTCAAGGCTTTTTATTTTCGTTTTCTAATATTCAATATACGTTTACATATATTTGTATATAACGTTTAAGTATTTCTTGATATATCATTTAAGAGTAATACACTGCGAGGAAAAATAGACAACTGCCAATTGAAGCGGTAAATCTCTCCTTAATGATAACATCAAA